ATTTTTAAAACATAGCTTGTGAGTATAATTTAATTTTAGTGTCCTGCAAAGTCCTGCTTTTAGTATCTGCTCTCAGAAGTGAACTGTTTGTCAGATTTCCATTAAGGTGAAAGTGAAAAATTAATGAACCAATTACTTAGGGTATTTCAAAACTAATGCAAGTCTATTAGTCATGCAGCACAAAAACCATCAAAGATTTAGGAATGCTCAATTTAGGCTTAAGGTTCACTCATATTCAACTTTTAAATCCATTATTTTATATGCTTAATAGAGCATCTCAGAGGAAAATAGAAGTTGAGTATTGATTTTTATTAACTGACAAATATATTTAAATATGTTTTATTTATTGAAATGCTTTCATCTACCAATGATTGCTTTTGAACAGGATTAATCAGTGAGTTAATGGGAACAAATGGCCTTTGGAAATATATTTAGGGTGTCTTCTAGGGAGGCAAGAGCTTGCTAGGAATAGAACATGATCATAGTGTGAGTGGAGACATACAAACTTTTTGTTTATTTGTGCCCCTGCTCCATTCATAGGCTTCCCAAGACTGAGAAAGATAGAATATTTTTCAAGCAATTGTTGATTTGTTTGTTTTTCTCAAGTTCTTGTTCCCTTGACAATGTGCTATGCTCCACTTGCCATATTTTAACAGGAAAGGGGAAGTAATTTTATTTAATCATTATATTAACTGGAAATGAAAACAGACCAAAATAGTGAAGAGTTAGAGCTGGGATAATTATCAGTGGAAACTTACTGTAGGAAATGGCCTTGAGTTGAATTTTGCAGAAAGCGAGTGTCTTAGACATGTGTGATGATCTCAGAACAGGTTTGGTGGAATTAATGGCTTAAGTCATTTCACAGTAAATGTAGATTACAGAGTACACAAAGGGACAAACTGGGCATTAGTAGATGATGTGTGAATATTGGCAACCCAGGACTTAAGATTATTTGGCATGTGGTATGCATGACATCATTCATGAACTTAAGTTTTATTTGCTATTGGAAATATACTAATATCTGACATCCATGACAACTTTGCAATCACAGATTTCAAATTGTCAGGGATGTAAGGCAGAATTTGCCTTGTAAGTTTGAGGGAGTGACAAGAATGTGCGTAAAAAGTCAGATGAAGTAATGGATGCTTGTGATCTAGGGAGTTGGACCCCTGGGGCTCTCTTGCTGGTAAGCCTTGTCTACTTGACAAATTCTAGGCCAGTAAGAGACATTGTCTCAAAAAACAAGGTGGAAGTAAAAGGGACAGAAGAGGATGAATGGAGGTGTGGTGGTATTGTATTCCCCAAAAGATTATGCACACTAATAAACTTATCTGGGGTCAGAGAACGGAACAGCCATAATATTAAACATAGAGGTTAGGCAGTGGTAGCACACGCCTTTAATCCTAGCATTCCAGAGGCAGAAATCCCTCTGGATCTCTGTGAGTTCAAGGCCACATCGGAAACAGCCAGGCATGGTGACTCAAGCCTTTAATCCCAGAAAGTAAACCTTTAATCCCAGGGAGTGATGGCAGAAAGCAGAAAGATATATAAGGCATGAGGACCAGAAACTAGAAGCATTTGGCTGGTTAAGCTTTCAGGCTTTGGAGCAGCACAGTTCAGCTGATATTCATTCGGGATGAGGACTAGAGGCTTCCAGTCTGAGGAAACAGGATCAGCTGAGGAATTAGCAAGGTGAGGAAGTTGTGGCTTGTTCTGCTTCTCTGATCTTCCAACATTCACCCCAATACCTGGCTCCAGGTTTGTTTTTATTAATAAGAACTTTTAAGATACATGCTATAGTGAGGGTCTACAGAATCAGTCATCTTATCTACGAAGCTGACAAAAAGCAAATTTGAAAAGGTGCAAGAAAAAAAAAGTCACTAGGCAAATGAAAATAATACAAAAGCAGCAGCATTCACTGGAATATCAATAGAGTGGTCTTAAAACGAAGGTAAAAATTAAACAGCTAGGAGGGAGGGGGACTAGAGAGGTTGGAGGGATACAGTGATGGATGGAATATATGTATATATATATATATATGTATGTATATATGTATATATATATATATATATATATATATAAAATAGTGTATAGAACTTTCCAAAATAAAATATTAGTATGTTTAAAGATACTGTTCCATGTGCAATTAAAATACCCCAGGTCACAACTGAGTGGGAAGGGCACACATGGCGAGTCACAGTAAGTGGGCTGTTCCAAAACTTCCCAACTAGACACCCAGGTGTGGTCTGTGTTTGAGGACATAAGCTGTCTTGGCCCAAGGTAGAGGCTGGAGCAGAAGAGGACTGGTCAGTATTGGCTAAAAGCAACTTCCTGAAACCTGCATATCACTGTCATCTTGACCCAACAGGCTACATGATTCCTAACATCATGTCTGTGAACCGTGCGTGTCCTGGCTTGCAAGCATATGACCTGTGCAGTCTCAGAGTGTCCTTTCTGAAAGGTCCCACACTTGATTTATACTATGCTGTTGCCATATCAAAATTCTTCCTGCTTCTCCAGCTAGCCACCCTCCATTGTCACTTTGCTCTGGACTCTGCAAATTATACAGCTTGTCATAGTCTTTGACATGAAACAGTCAAGGAACAGTGAAGTTCACTGTGGTCAGAATTCACTGTCACACGTGGGCATAAGGTAATAACGGAGACCCGAGACCGGCCCTGTACTTCTCCAACAAACCGATTCTCAGTTTAAATCTTTATTACTATTTCCTCAAAACCACAGCTTCTATGATAGCCACAGCCTTAAGCAAAGTATCATTTTTTGTCTTGTGATTTTCCACATGATAAATTAAAAAGTGGTTCACAAGCATATTTTCTCATGTATAATCTGCTTCCTGGAACCTGGTTACCAGGATTAGGAAGGCCTGCACCACCTGTGGACAGATTAAATTAAATTCCAAGTAAAACTCCAGGAATCATTTCCCTATTAAAGTTCTGAAAACATGGTACTGCATTCTAAAATGTAACTGTCTGTGTTCGACTGTGAATTTCCTTTTCCGAGTCAACAACATAGTTTCCCGAGCATTTTGTTGTTGACTTGAGCACATTTGCTCCACTGTTCTCTGAGTATGGCGTGCATTGTTGTAATTATTTTGTCTTATCAGTTTTTTATCTGCATTTTATTAAAATTATAGATAAATATAGTTCATTACTTCTCCAAATAGTTCAAAGAGGATTTAATTGCTGAAGTTACCTTGTTCCACCTTTCCTCTGTCCCCTTCTCTTGACTTCTCCAGCGTGTGCAATTGAATTGGTTTCAGCATCTTTCCTTGTCACCCGTGTTCTGTAGTTTACTTCTTGCTCCTCCATATGTGTTTGAGGCACATCACTTTTATTATTCAGTGTGTGTGTGCATGTGTAGGCACATGTGTACATGAAGTGAGCTTGTATATGTGCATGTGCATATGGAAGCTGGTGATATCCTTGGATGTTGCTTCTTAAGCACTTGTCTTTTTTCTTTTTTTTAAGAAATGGGGGTTCTCATTGGGAGGCCTGGAATTTGTGAACTAGACTAGGCTGCCTCGAGGGATTCTCCTGTCTCTGCTGTGATTCCAAATGTATGCCACAACACCCACATGCCTTCTCTACCCTCCCTTAACATGAGGACTTTGGTGAACAAACTCATGTTCTTACATCTATAAGGCTAGTATTTCCCATATGAGTCATCTTCTTAGCCCTGTATTTCAGTTTTACTCATTATTCTGATTGTCTCATTTTTTGCATCATCAGGATTTACTTTCTGGTCTCGTGTACATTATTCCAAGTTTATTTCTTTACCTCCATTCTCCTGAAATATAATTTTCTGACTATATTAATTATGATTATTCTACTTCTAGTCGTACTGTACTACTGCATTTCTTTTTGACACAACCTATGGTCCTGTTAAAGCTAATCACTGTCTTCAGACAATGCTTTGTTTCCTGTATTACTGGGAAATCTTTAAATCCTAACTCTAATCTTACTGTCCGTATTCCCTGGAGTCCTTAGCTCACATCTGCTCACATCTGCATATATCCCCATTCGTTCTGCTGTCCTGGAGGTTCTCCTCAGCTTCTTGGACTCTGCTCACAGCTTTGTTCTTCTGTGCAGATGCCTTTGGTTGAGAGCTTATTCTCAGGAATGGTCAAGTTAAGTTGATTTCAGTTTTGGATGGATGTGGGTAATTTTCATTGACCATAAGCTTAGATGTGGGAGTTCTTCGACAAGTTTGTTTTTTATCAGTGGTCTTCTGATTTTCATTAGTTTTAGAAGATATTTTCTACTGGTCTGCTCTTACCTGCTACTAGCAAATGCTCCATTGTCTGAAGGCATTGGGCACAGAGTTAACCATGAATTCTCAGACATCCTAATAGTATCCTGCTTAACAATGGTAACTTTCTTGTAATCTGAAGCCTCCCCCTTCTTCGTCTCCCCACTTCCCACTGGCATGATGAAGGGCTAGGCAGCCACACTGTGTGTATAAGAAGCAGAGCCCTTCTTCACACCATGTTTCACAGGCTCCCCTTCTATATCCTGTCAAAAGTTGCAGGAGCTGCCAGTCCCTGGACCTTCCGAATTCTGTGCTACAAGCCACACTCCTTCTCAGTCTCCTCACCACAACTTCAGTTCCAGCCTCCGAGATCCACTCACTATGTTTGCTGCTAAGGTTTCAGCTCCTACAGTCCAGCTCCCTCTGCTGTCTTGGTTCCCATGCATCTCTGTGTCTCCATTCCTTTCCTGTTACCTTAGTGAGTCATAGTGGTAGAACTGGTGGTAAGTGTCTGTGTGAGTTGTTGGTGGAGAAAGACAATATTATTCAGACTAAATCATTTTATAATGTTTCAAATCATTTTAACAAGCAGAATATAATTGAGAAGGAAATAAACAAGCAAATATAAACTTACTACTCAACATTTATACACTTGGTTGCATAGAACTTGTCTATGATTGTGTTCAGTTTCTGTTTGCTAAGGATTTGGGTTTTTTCTTTTTTGAATACAGATGGAAGCTTTAGACAGAACCGACCAAACCTCACCTCTCTGTTAGTTCAGCCCATCTCGGTATCCTTCGCTAAAAAACTCATTCCTTTGCCAAAACTGAGGCTGGATGATGATGCCTGTCGTCCTCTAGAACTTCCACATAATGGTAAGGTAACTTGTGCTTCTTTGCATCTGCTGAAGACTTTAAGAACTTTGGTCATTTTTTTTGTAAATCTCTTAAAAGGTTGATAATTATTCATTTCAAAACTACTGACTTTTGGTAGGAGGGGATCTGTTGCATTCTGTGTTTCTATAAGGATGAGTTTGGAAGGTAATTTTGCTTAAGATCTAAGAGATTAATGAAGCTGGGATATTTTTTCAAGAAGAAAAGGGGGAGTTTGAGTTGTTCCAAAGAAAAGGAGCTTCCCAAATAAAGCATTTGTACATGCATGGAAATCTGCTTAACACGGCCTCACAGGCTCAGCTCTGGAGGCTCGATGCCTGCCAGCGTTCAGTGGGTAGCAGCGGCTTTCTGGCAGTTTTGCTGTCTGCCAAGATTCAGTGAATGGCAGCAGCTATCTGGGGTATGAAGTCTCTTAGTATAAAGTATTAAAGCCTAATTCTGGCAATTGACTAAAAAATCCCTCTGTCTATAGGCATCATCGCCTGGGAGATGCTTCTCGTTCAGAGGTGCAGTTTGTCAGGCCTTGTTGGACTTTGCAGGATAAAACTGAAGCAGTTAAGCTACCTGTGGTGGGATGAAAGCATGGGCTGCATCTTCTTTCCTGCCTTCAGCTTTCGCATTAAAGTTCTGAAAAAGAGACGGTCTTTACATGTTGTTAAATGTCTCTGGCTACTGTGAACTAAGATTCTGGTCCTTTGGGTTTGTGTGTGTCCAGATCTGGGGCGCTATGCACTAGCAGTGTTTTATATCATCTGTTTTTCTCCTAAAAACTAAAGTATTAAAATACGTTTTGAAGAAAAGACTTGCAAAGTCAAGACTCCTAGATGTTAGAAACATATAAACTTTACAGAGGGTGTGCATGTGTGCATGTGTGTTTGCTTGTACGTGTGTGTGTGTGCGTGTGTGTGTGTGTGTCTGCATATGGGTGCATATGCCACAGCATATGTATGGATAGGAGAGGACAACCTTTTGGAGTTAGTTCACTCCTTCCAGCAAGTGAGTCCTAGGATCAATCTCATCAGCTTAGGGTCAGGGGCTCCTCCTGCTGAGCCATCTCTGCTGCTCTGAATTTGCTAATTCAATGATGAGTTTATGCATTTCAGCAACTATCCACCTTTCAGGGAACTGATATTTCCTGTGATGACGTTGTAGTCTCTCAGCTCACTTCTGCAGTAAATGTCCTGTGCTCAGACCTACAGAATCATAGAAAAGCCACATTTGTTAGAATCAAAGGTGAATATATGCCCCAGCACTTCTGTAAACTGCAAATGCTGTGTGTATTAGTGAGCCTCTTATCAAATGACGATATCACCTGCCTTCTCGACAGTGAAGTGTCTTAACAACACAGAATAATGCTCTCTAGCTGCACCTCCAACATGAAGTTCAGCATATGAGAAGCCAGGAAGGAAAGTAAAGATTGAGAGTTGAAACTTCACAATTCCAGTCTTAAAGAAGCAAATGAAAGATCTGCTAAGAAATTATGTCACATAAGGTTTTCTCATGTAGTAATTATTATTATTATTATTATTATTATTATTATTATTATTATTGTGTTAGACAAATTCAAATGTACTTAAGGATAGAGAAGAATTTGGTGTTTTTGTGAAGCTTTCATTTTTCAGAAAACACTCTTACATTTATATTTTCCAGATAGTGAATGAGCACACTACGTGTTTGTGTGCTTGAGTTTAAATTTATCTTAAACAGAGGATAATGACATTTCACACCAAAGTTCTGTGTAGAACTTTTTTATGACTCATCTATGATAACTAACTTTTGAGTGTGTGATATGCTCCTAAAATTGTAATAATTGCTTATGTTGATGTATGTGTAAAGGTATAAAAATACCAAGAGGGTTCTTTACTTTGAACAAGAGCCACACCACTAGTTTACAAATTAAAAATAATGTAAAACACAATACAGTTTAATTTTGCCCTTTTATTGAGTATTCCAAGCATAGTTGAACTACAGTTAGAAAATCTTAATTGATCAAGGTTGAGAAATTGGTAAATGTATGTACACATCAAGCAATTATTTATTTTATTTAACTCACTGTGACAATGAATCAGGATTTTCTAAAACCTAGACCAAAATGTAGCCAAGTTTCTCCATTACAAGTGCTTTATCGACACCTTTACCCTTCATATTTTTGAAGTTTGTCACCATTTTACAACAATGTATGGTAAATAGGTTTGAGGGCTCTATAAACTCTATAGATGGACCTGATTTGCTCAAACCTATTGATCTATTAAATCTTATAAGACTTCTCCCAGTAGAGAAAAGCCAAGATTCATTTTCTGAACTTTATTTGAGCAATGAGCCATTTTAACACTAGAAGAAAATGAAAAAGCAGGTAACTCTGGGATCTTCCTCATCACTGGGACCATGGTAATGTATAGTGCTGGCAAATGGCGACAGTGGGGAGTTGAGTCAGCTGAGTAAGGGAGAAAGGTACAGCTGGAGACAGAGATGGGAGTTGGGAGTGAAGGGTAGAAATGCACGAAGGGATTCCTAACCACAGAGTGAAGCAGTCATATCTGAAGCTAAACCCATTGAGCTGGCCATAAACGCAAGTCGATATATTTCCTTTGGAATGTAATAACTTTGCATTTGCTTTTCAGTTACTTATAACCAAAAGCTATCTAAGTAGTATAGATGATAAAAGCTTCAAAAAGGAATGAAAATGCCAGCACTCATGAAATAGGTTCAGGATACATAAGGAAGAGATTAGGGCATTCTGTGGCGACTCCTTAGGGAAGCAATCCAAAGAGCCAGAAGTACTGCTTTTGCCTAAACAGAAACAGATTGCACTGATGAAACCATTGGATATCCTGGGTTTGTTTTCTTTGGTCTCTCTGTGGAGAGCCCATCTGCTAATCTAGTATGTTCTCAGTCATTTTACTTGAGGTTTAGCCAGAAGAAAGAAACCTTAGTGTCAAACAGTAATTTGAGCTCCTGTTTAAGTTTTGTGAATACAGTAAAAATATTGAAATGACAAACTATAAAATAGGTTAACATAATTTATGTGGAATATATACATACCTCAGGCTTAAAGAAAGAAATTTGATAAACTTGATTAATTTAATATTTAAAGGGAGAATGTTTGTTTTATGCTGTGTCAACCTTGCCAATGAAGAAAAGTTTGTGCATAAGTAAACTATGCAAAACACAAACCTATCTGCTTCAATAGAGAGGAAAACAGTGATGTAGCTCTGATTTCCTTATTCATAATTTGACAAATTCTCTGGTGAAAATTAACTTCATTAGAATAATATAGCAATACTTAACTCATCATTTATGCATTTTTACAAGTTTCAAATGTGTTTTAAATAGCTATCTTTTAAATTTGTTATTGTTTATGTAAAAGAATTCATTTACATTTCTTTAGTGGATATTTCACTATATATTTAATATATTAATGTTACAAATTGTGATTATGCAAAAAAGGATCAACAAATAGTTCATTTTAACCATTCAAAATATAGTTATTAACTAGAAATGTTCATTCACTTAGATCCATAAGTATTTTTTGCTACATATGAAGCTAATGGAATTAACAATAATGTTGCTCCATGAGAAGAAAATCTAGGAGATTCTGTGTATATATCATTACAATTTATTGACGATCATTTATCTATCCTGTGATACAACATGTATTCTGAGACACTGTATTATTATAGAACTGATAGGCTGACATCTCCATATATTATTCCAACTTTTTGACCATACAAAGGAGAAGAATGTAAATAGGTTATTTTTTTAAAGAAGAAAAATTATGAATGTGTTTTGCAGTAGGTTTGGTTGCTAGTCACTTTTCCAACACTGAAACGGAAATATTTGAGACGAAGTAGGATTGTTTGGTTTTTCTAACAGTGATAGGGTTTAGTTTGTGGTCAGTTTGCCTTGTTCCATTGTCTGTGGTGACAACTCATTGAGGAATCTATCAGACAGTTGCTAATGAAAGCAGAATGAGGAGAAAGGTGGGAGGTGACTCTCTCTCTTCCAGAGGTGTCTCTATCTATCAACCTTGCTGCTACTAGGCCCACTTCCTGAAAGTTCTATTGTCTTCCAAAAGCATCACAGAGTAGAGACACACATAGACCATAGGGAGTTCTTATCCAGGCTGTAGTTAGTTACTTCTAGTCATCAGTATGAAAAACAAAATACCCAGGAAAAGTGGGCATCATTTTCATTTGTGTACATAACTCTATACATATATGGGTATATATTCATATGGGTAAAATCAATGTGCTTGTATACATAACTCTATATTTCATGCATATGGGTGAAATCAGTGTGCTTATGTACACAGCTCTATATGGAAGCTCTATATGGCTTACATATAGGTAAAATCAATATGCTAGATAACATTAGTAAAGGCATATCTGGCCAGGAATGAAGGCTGCATGTTAGGAGTTGCCAGTGTACTCCTTAGCAGTGACACCCAATTTTCTAAATTGTCTAGAAGCCAATTGCACAGTGCACCTAGGAGTCTGGGCTGGAAGCTAAGAACAGAGTAAGCTGTGGAACTAAAGATCAGCATTCATGAGCTGCCAGTCTGAAGTCCTTGGATAAAAGAAAAAAGAGTTTCAGAATTCACTTTGAAGGACTGTTCATGAAGGATCTGAAATACAGAACACAGGTGTGAGACCTATTGTCCAAAGTCCACAGACAGTAGACTCAGACCTGTTTCCTGTGGAGTGAAGGTAGGTCTTACCCAGGGTGACAGAACTGTCATTCGCCTTGAACTTCTCAAGTTTCCTGCCATCTGTTTCATCAGTTAGCTATTAGAAATGATTCAGCATAAAATTTTGTTTATTAATCACTGAAGGCAATCTGAGATGCACACTTTCAAGTAAAATCATTTTCACCTATACTATCTAATATTTCAGTGTTGTTTCTGCCATTTTTGTAGCTTTCTTACATTCTTATCTTACTGATTTTAAGCATTTCTCTGCTCTTGATAGATTACAGAAACTCCA